AAAGCTAATTTATTTGTCTTGCTTTCGGTGAAAAAAATATTCATCTATCATGAATAGAAGTTGAGATATTTGCATTTGAATTAGGTGGGTGTCGCCTGGTTTCAGAGGTAAAATTAGCGAGAAAATGACCGCCAAAGTTTGGCCATTTTCAAACCTTGAGAGTCCTTGCTACGAATTACATTTTAGTGCCTTACATCAACATTTTCCCAATAAAATCCACACACAATTGTGTTTTTAAAAGGACATTAAAGATGTTGAGTAAAAAAATAATAAAAACGATAAAACCGTCAAACGGACAGAAAAATGCCAGTTTCTTCGATTTCATTATTTTGATGAGCGCCTGACGTCACCGCGGTGAATCACAAATTTGTTTCTAATGAGGGTCGGAGGGGAGAGGGGGGGGGCTAAAGTTTACCTTTACCGACCACATATACTTACTTCCTGAGGTGGTGCGAGTGACAGAGGCAGCCCCGACCACGAGCAAAGCTGTCAGCAACAGCTGTGACGTCACAATACTCCCAACTGGCATACTGACCGCTGGTCAGTGGGATAAAGACGGGAGGGATGTGGGGGGGGGGATTAATAAAAAAATATTAACATAGAAAATAATAATGGTTTTACGTCATTTGCCATAAAAAATAAGTCATATAAATGCCGAAGATTAGAGGTATTACAGTGGGTGGTTGGCGGGTGCTCTGATGTGGTTTGCTTCTTCTTTCCTATCAAACATTTATCGTCCTTATCTCCCCCTCATATTGTTTTATGTTTGTTACTCTCTTAATGTAACAGCTCTAATCTTCTGGCGCTCATATGACCTCATGCAGTTGCGAGGGCCGTAAAACTTCTACTTTTAAAAAAAAGGAAAAAAAAAGAGGTGTTACTGGAGAGTAACGTAACATAAAGAAAAGAAGGGGGAGAAGATAAAGACGGTAGAGAAGAAAGAAAGAGCAAACCATAACATAACATAACATCCACCAACCAACCACAGTCTGTTATTTTTTTTTTCCAAGAAGAGAAATATACATAAAGAGACACAGTGGGTGCTTGCTCGGTGCTCTGGTTTGGGTTTTCTCCTAAAACATCTGTCATCTTCATCTCTCCTTCTCCTTTAGTTTGCATTTTGCACACTAAGAACACTTTTAATCTCCGGCACTCATAAGACCTGATAACGTGGTAAATGCTATAAAACTCTTACTAAAACTAAAAAGAGACACAAGTCTTTGCACAAGGCCGAGAGAATGGGATTGGAAGGGAGATGGATAGTTTGACATATTGTACATATACAAAGTATTATTAAAGAAAAAAATTACACACAAACTACGTGCTATAGAAACATGAATTATACGCTTGTGATAATAAAAATAATTACGTGAGAATACTACATAGGTCGTATTACTTGATTTGGAAACTTAAATTAATGAATGAAGACTTTTTTTCGACTAAATAAACGAGAATAATTTATTTCAAAATATGAACGAATGTAGGCAAATGGGTTCCAAAAGAACATTTTCGAAGCCAGAAGAATCGAAACGATTGAGAGGAAGTTTAAAAGTAATTAATTTGAACTAATGATATGCTAGTTGTGACAGCGATGTCTGTGCATTTATTTGAAGAGGACAGAAGAAAAAACGACTGTAGTCAGAAACTGGAAATTGTGAGAGTGGCAATTTAAAAGCTTGTAGACTCATAACTTCATATTTGTTTGACTGGTGGTTTATTGCTAAGTGCTGTTGAATAGGAAATTTAACAGCTATAATCAACCAACAGTTGAACAGAAATACAGTTATGAGTCAACAAGCGTTCAAAATTGGTACCCTCACGATTTTCAGTTTGTAACTACAGTCGTCTTCCCCTGCCCTGTAGTCTTCATCTTTGTTTAATGGTGCTAAAAGTGCAGGGTTTTGTGTGTGTGTGTTTTTCTTACCTTACTCCTCTTCTGTTTCAGTGCACATGAGACAAACATCTTTACTTCCCCAGAATGTATTTGAACGACAGATGTGAAATCAACAATCAATTCCGTAGTAATGACGACAGAGCTGATCTTACAGTACTATGACTACGAACAGAATTTCTCTTTATCTCAAAGTCAGTTTACAAGAAAAGCTATAATAACATCCTTCAGCTCACTCATCGTTTAATTAACCTCCAAGGGCCTTGTAATTAAATTCCTGCATGCGGTTAAATGATGCATCTGATGCGATATGCACACTTTGTCAGCTTTTCTTCTTTTTTCATATAAAATTGTAATGAGAGTAATATTATATGATATATTTTTTTAAATGTATACCTGCATGTGTTTTTACTTTCCTGTACAAATTTCTCTCTGGGATAACAATGTATTATCTTATCTTAATTATGCTCTCTTTAAAACGCACGTTGAAGAAAATTTTTCTTTAGAAAAGGCAATGGTATTCAGCTAACCCATCATTTAATTATGGGTTGTTGTGGGTTTTTTTTTTAAATAACAGGCACACAGTAAAAAGCTTTTCTTTATCTCAAAGTCAGTTTACAAGAAAAACTAAAATAATTCAACTCACGCCTTGTTTAATGATGTTCCCTTTAACAAGCCTATTGTAGAAAAAACTTTTCTTTATCTCCAAGTCAGTTACAAGAGACGCTAATGTTATTAAGCTCACTTTTCGTTTAATCATAAATATTACGTTCTCTGTAACAGGCACATTGTAGAAAAGTTTCCTTTTTTCAAAGTAGGTTTACAACAAAAGCCAATATTATTCAGCACACTCATAGTTTAATTATGTTATGTTCTCTAAGCATACACATTGAAGAAAACTTTGTCTCCAAGCAGGTTTACAAGCAAAGTTAATAATATGTTTCAGTTCACTCATTATTTCATCATGTTCTCTATAACAAGCACATTGCAGGAAACTTGTCTTCATCTTTAAGTCAGTGTACAAGAAAAGCTTTAATGCTATTCTGCTCCTTCGTCCTTTATATGTGTTCCCTAGAACAGGCCTATTGAAGAAAACGTTTCTGTATCTCAAAGTGAGTTTACAAGAAAAGCTAATATCATTTAGCTCACTTCCCGTTTAATTGATTTATACTCTCTAAACATGTACATTGAAGAAAACTTCTTTATACCTGTAATCTAAAAGAAAAGTCCACAAGCAAAGCTAATATTGTTCTTCAGCTCATTCATTGTTTAACTATGTTCTCTATAATAGTCACATTGAAAAAAAAACCCAAGCTTTTTCTTTATAATCTCAAAGTCAGTTTACAAGCTAATAACTTTATTATTCAGATCACTCATCGTTTAACCCTATCCGTACGCCCTGGGGTCATTTTGTACCACCACCACCCCACCCGAGGGGTTGTATTCTTCACATTTTAGAATACTTCTAGTTCTAGTGCGAAGATCTCTTTGAAACTTTCAGTATTTCTCAAAAAATCATTTTGACAGACTACTATGCAAAGCGGATTAACGAGTAAATTTCCTCTTTGGAAAGTGATGGCACAAAATTCCCCATGTCGTATAGATACGATAGTAAAGCACGAGGTATGTATAGGGTTAATTATATTATGTTTTCTACGAGAATAACAGGTTCTCTCGTATAACAGGTTCATTGAAGAAAACGTTTATTTATAATCTCAAAGTAGGTTTGCAAGAAAAGCTAGTAGATTTTTCTAATATTATTTTTCAGCTCACTCATTGTTTAATCTTGTTCTCTATAACAGGCACATTGTAGAAAACGTGTTTTTTCTTTAAGTAGTAAATTTACAAGAAAAGCTAATAATGTCAATCAGCTCATTCATTGTTTAACTATGTTCTCTATAACAGTCACATTGTGGAAAATTGTGTGTCAATTTACAAGAAGAGCTCATAATATTGAGTTCACTCATTGTTTAATTATGCTCCCTATAACAGTCTCAATGTAGAAAACGTAATCTCAAAGTAGGTTTACCAGAAAAGCTAATAATAATATTATTTTTCAGTTCATTCATTTTTTGTATTTATGCTCTCTATAACAGTCACAATGTAGAAAACTGTAAGTCAATTTACAAGAAAAGCTAATAATAATATTCAGCTCATTCATTGTCTAGCTACGCTCTCTATAACAATTAACAATCACATTGTAGAAAACAACAAACAATACGGTCCTGCCACAGTTACCGAGAGGAGCACAGAGCAGAAACGTTGCAGCTGTCAGGCCTCTGAGCTAGTGAATGATGAGTTGACCAGGTACTTTTAGCACCCCTGGTCGATCCATGGGCGGGAAGTCACAGTTTTTAAAAAGGTCCGTACGTCCCTGCGATGGTTAAGTATACTCGAGGTGTAACCAAACAACAACAAAAAAACATCCCCGGTATTTCCCTAGCTGAAAATGTTCCGGCAACTTGGAAGTTTTTTTGTGGTTTTTTTTCCTATTGGTTTTTTGTTGTTGTTTTTTTGTGGGTTTTTTCTGACAAAATGATGAAACAAGGTAAGAACAATCTGCAGGTTTAACTCTTACGACATTTCGTGAGTCTGTTCCCTGCTTTGTCGGTCGCTACAAGTTTGATTTGAAATGCATGGCTCTTTTCATCAATGCAGACGGTTAATTAAGCTTAAGATGGTCTCAAAGTTGTCTTCGTGCAGCTTCTTTCGTGGCAAATTCTTCCTATGTTTGAAGCGTAGATTCTGTGGCAGTGCTTGCATGTCAGTGTCGTAGATCGAAGCTCTGTATTTCAGTTGTTTCCCTTTCGTCGTTGGCGCTTCTCAGCCTGGTTGTTTCTGGTGCTGCTCTCTAGCATTATAGTTCTTTCCTTTATCGTTTTCTTCCATGTCGTCCTGTCGTCAGCTATTTCTTCCCAGATGCTGACATCTACCCCAAATAATTTAGATACGCTGTTTTTGCAGGTGTCTTTGTGCCTCAATGTTGGCCTTCCTCTTGGCCTCTTTCGATGGGCAAGTTCTCTATAGAGAGGTTGCTTCGGAATCCTGTTGGCGTCCATTCTCTTGACATGGCCCAGACATCTCAATCATCTTAAACACGGGATAGCTGTCACGCTCTGGAGGGTTTAAAATAATAGGAGTACAAAAGTATTTTTGGCGTATAAGAGAAAGGTTACCGGTGGTAGGCGTGTGCTCTGGTGTGATTTGCTCCTTCTTTCCAATCAAACATCTATCGTCCGTATCTCTCCTCCTTTTTTGTTTGCTACTTTCTTGTAACACCTCTAATCTTCGGTACGACTGAAATGACTTCATTGATTTGCAAGTGCCGTAAAACTCTTATTAAAACTAAACCTGAAAAAATGCTTCAAGCTACAAACATGTATTACCCACCGAATTTTAAGAGCAGAAGAGAGAGTTGATAGTAGAAGACACAGTTGCAGCACAGGCAAGAGATGTGTATGATAAGTGAGGGAGATAATAAGAAACAGAGAGAATTTGTGTGGAAAGGTGGCGGGGAGGGAGTGAAGAGAAATGCTTGCCCCCTTCTGGTGTTCATCATAACCAAAAGCTTTTGTGCCTTGTATCAAAAAGCTACATTTGGATAACGTTTTTGAGACAACTGTGTAACTTTCACTGAGTACACGTATAACGATTTATTGTTTTTAATTTTTTACATTTTATTTATCTATTTATTTGTTTAATCCACTATCGCCATGAAACACAAGCACTTAAAGTCTGAGTTCAGAGTTCAGTAAGTTAAGGTGTTTTCTCAATGTATGGGAGACTTAGATCATCCTTAATTGTTTTGTTTTTTTAAATTACTCTTCTTTTTTTTTTTTAGATCATCCTTAATTAATATTAA